TCCCCCCCCCCCTACCATCATCATCATCATCATCATCAATCTACCCATGCCCTACCTACTACGCTACCACCCAATCAATAGTAGATAGGATCGCTCCGCCCTCAATTTACATCAAAATTCATTTCTATAACCCATTTTGATTTGTTTTTTTTGTAAATTCGAAAATACTCAATTAACTATCTTTCTCGACATTTCTTTCTCAAACGTATTTTCTTTTTCAAAATTTTTGAAAATACGTAGGATTAATAATTTCTTTCTCGGCATTTCTTCTTCAAAATTCGAAAACAAATTTAATTCAATTCTTTTTTGAAATTTTGTAATTCAAAAAAAAAAATAGAATTAATTAAACTTTTTTTTGATATTTCTTTTTCAACATTTCCTTTTCAAAATCATTTCTAATTAATTATTTTTCGAAAATTTTAAAATTACGCATTTCTTCGTAATCAATTGTTTTTCAAAATTTTTGTAATTCAAAATATTTCAGAATTAATTAATTTTTTTTCCGATATTTCCTTTTTGACAATATTTCTAATTAACTCGTTTTCGAATTTTTTTTTGAAAACTACGAACTGCGAAAATAATTCTGACTAATTATTCTTCGGAATTTTTGTAATTCAAAAATTTTTTCGTTCGAATTAATTCACGACTAAATTGATCTCTTTTTTTCTCGGAAGTAATTATTTTCTTTCATTTCGAAATTCCTGAAAATTCCGCTTTCATTGAAAAATACATTCTCGAATTAATTTCGAATAAATTCAAATTAATTTATTCAAAATGAATTCTTGCTCTGCAATTCTCTGCTACCTTCATTGCTAAATCACTTGATGACGCTCTACTCTTGTAAATACGGATTGTCCCCCCTCTTCTCCACATGCCATCACGCCAAACCAAGACCTCCCAACGCGCTGCCGCCGACGCCGCTGCCGCTATCACATCTGCTGCTACCACCTCCACTGCTCCATCTTCCTCTGCCACCTGGCCTTCGTCCTCTCCAATGGCCGAAGGTGCTTCAAGCCTCAACATGAGCTCTCTCTGCGACGACTCCGTGGCGGGTATCCACCGCGAACTCCAACAAGCCATCGGGAATAACMCCCCCGCCCCATCCCTCCTCTCCATCCTTCGGTTCGTATAGGACTCCCTCTGGACACTCTCCACTTCCGTCGCTGGCATCTCAAGCCGGTTGACCGCCCTCGAGTCCCAAACCACTACCCCTTCCATCCAGGTGGTCACCACCACCACCCCCACGTCAACAACCGCCTCCAGCCACACCCCGTCGCCGACCTCCTCCACTCCTACTACCTCTACCACCACATCCACCACCTATGCCTCCTCCACCCTTCCCCCCTCCTCAGTCGGCGCTTCCAGCACACCGCCACATTCCTCGCCTAACCACGTCACCCCTCTTCCCCCCCCGCACTCCCATACTATCTCACAACACATCATGACGACCTCCACCATCCCCACCCCGCGTCCCACCTATTCCCAAGTCACCTCCAGGGCTTACCCCACAATGCCACAACTTCCCCCCAACTACCTCCTTAACGACAACAGCCAATTCGATTACACCTGCTACGACACTACCCCCGATAACCTCAACTTCAACACCCTCGTGTGGATCGTTTCCCGCGAAGGGGAAATCCCCCGTTCCTTCCGATCCGCTGACATCATGCCCTTCTTCGACCTTCCCCACAAGGACGTTTTCCTCTTCCTTACCCAGCTCCACAACTCTTTCAAGCTCCACCACATGCCCCTTGTCCACTGACTTCCCATTGCCACCTCCCGCCTCCTCGGCAATGGCGTCAAATGGTGGATGGCCAAAGTCAGCAACCGCCGCGCCTCGGGCGGACCGCGTCACTCCTTCCTCCAATGGGCCAACCTTCTCACTGCCACCTTCTGCCCCCAGAAAACCATCGATGACTACCTCGAACAATTTTGTCACCTCCGCCAGACCGGTCCCACGAACCGCTTCATCCAATACATCCGCTCCCTCCGCCATCACCTCCCCACCACCGTCATTCCCAACTTTGCGTTCATCTCCCGCATCAAGCGAGTATGCCACAAAGATCTTGCAACCGCCCTCGCCCACGAACCCGACATGCCCCTTGTTGACCTCCTCTCTTGCATGCTTCACCACGATCGACTCCTCCACCCCCATCACCAGTCTGCGCCCGCTCCCTCCCGCCCCCGCTTCTTCCATAACATCACCCCTGACGACACCACTCCACCCACCTCCGATGACGACTTCGACACTGCCTCTCTCGACCCCTCCCAATTCACCATTAAGGACCTCCAGGCCGCCCACCTTATGCGGATGGAACGCCAAGATCGTGCCTCCCGACCGCCTTCTTCCTCTCCACCCCGTCGTCTCCAGAAACTTACACCCGCAGAATGCATATACCTCCAAGAACACAACGGGTGTTTTCGTTGCCGCCAGTTAGGTCACCAACAGACCAACTGCCCCAACGCTAGTCGCTTTACTCTACAGGCCCCTCGCTCCGCGGGACTGGCCCTTCTACTCCCACTTCTTCCTCCACCGTGGCAGTCGGGCCCTCCTCCACCTAAACACTGTCCCCCTGTCTCTTGCAATCCTCCCCCGACATCGACCACTTGTCTGTCGGCTCTCCCATCGGTGACAATCTCTCCTCCACCGGTGACCCACTTGGCATCGACTATCCGCCTGCCTACCCCCCCTCCGGTGATGCACATCCCATCGAACGGCCCCTAGGTGATGTAGTCTACTCCGCCTGCCCCCCTCCCGACGACGTCTGCTATCCCGTCGGTCGAGCTTCCCACTGGCACCTACTCTTCTCCTCTCACCCCTAACCCCTTCTCTACGACCTTCTCCGATCTCGTTGAGGAACAAGCACGACACGATCGGCTTGTTAGATTAGGCTTGGAACAACGCCGCCTCAAACACCATGATCTCTTCTGCTTGTACCGGAACCGCACAGTTCCAGCTCAAGTTTATTGTCGTTTCCCTCGGCGCATCGACAGTGAAGTTTCGGACCCTCCTTGATATTGCTGCCACTGGCAACTTCATCACCGAAGCCTGTGTCCGCAAAGTCGGCCTCTCTTCCACCGGCTATGACTCCCCGATCACCATCCAACTAAGGGATAAGGACTCAGCCATCGTTGTCAATCGCACTATCCTCGAGACCCTCATGATTGTTCGTCCTCTTCGCAGTCAGGTCTCCTTCAATGTCATGCACCTCATGTGCAACATCGTCTTGGGGACTCCATGGCTTGACCATTTCATGCCCTAATCCTTCCACCCCTCCTTCGTCTGACTCAGTTCCTTCACATATCTCGTGAACACCCCGACTCCGCTTACTATTGTTTTGTTATCGACCACGAGTGTCCCGGGGACTTGCTTCCAACGGACAAACCCGACCAAGACCCCCCTTTCGATCCTCACATCACCGCTCTCCTCTCTGAATTCAAGGACGTCTTCCCCGAGTCCTTTCCCGCCAGTTTACCTCTCGATCGAGGTGTATCCCACACCATTGATCTCGAGCCCGACCATTCTCCTCCTTGCCGCCCTCCGTACCAACTCTCCGTCCCCGAGGCCGAAGAAATGAAGCGCCAGCTCAATGAACTCCTTGAAAAGGATTCATTAAGCCTAGCTCCTCCCCCTTCGGAACCAGTTGTCTCTTCGTCAAGAAGAACGGCACCTCAGAACTCCGCATGTGCATAGATTACCGTACCTTGAACCAGATCACGATCAAGAACAAGTACCCACTCCCCCGGATATCTAAACTTTTTGATCGCCTCCGTGGAGCCAAACATTTCATCAAGATCGACCTCCGCAGTGGCTTCCACCAAATCCGTATCCGCGAGGACACCCACAAGACCGCATTCCGCTCTCGGTTCGGGCACTACGAGTTCCTCGTAATGCCTTTCGGACTCACCAATTCCCCCACCACATTTCAGTCCACCATGAACCACATCTTTCGTGACCTCCTCGAAGCTTGTGTCGTCGTGTACCTTGATGACATCCTCATCTTTAGCCCCACCATCGAGTCCCACCTACACCACATTCGCCAAGTCCTCTCGATCCTCCGAGAGCAAAAATTCTATGCCAAACTCAGCAAATGTACGTTTGCCGCTTCGAGTGTTGAATACCTTGGCCACATTGTCTCCGCTGAAGGCATCCTTATGGGCCCCTCGAAGGTCACAGCCCTCGTCAAGTACCCCGCGCCCAAGACCCTCCTCCAACTTCATTCCTTCCTCGGTCTTGCCAACTATTACCGCTCGTTCATTCGCAACTTTTCCGAGATCTCTTACCCTCTCCATGAACTCACACGCAAGGACGAACCCTTCAATTGGAACAATCACCGCCAACACGCTTTCGACTTCCTCAAGCAAACCATTACCACTGCCCCTGTCCTCAAGATCGCCGACCCCACTCGCCATTTCTATGTCACCAATGATGCCTCCGACTTCGCCATTGGAGCCGTACTGTCCCAACATTTCCCCCGCGACACCGCCAAGACCCCCTCCATCAAGGACTCGCCCACTCACCCCGAGGCTCCACCCGGCGAAGACCCCATCGCCTTCGCAAGCAAAAAGCTCCTTCCCGCGGAGATGAATTACCCCGCCAATGAGAAGGAACTCCTCGCCTTGATTCACGCCCTCACAATCTGGCGTCCGTGCTTTGACGGACAATACTTCACTATCCTCACTGATAACACCATCGTTTCTTTCATCCTCACCAAGAAAGACATCACCCCATGCCAAGCTCGATGGCTCGACTTCCTTGCCCAGTTCACATTCACCATTTGCCATACCCCCGAAAAAAGCAACCGTGTTGTTGATGCCCTCTCTCGATGACCCGACCACAAGCCCCCCGAGAAAGTCTACGCCGTCATGACCCATATCCAGCAGCTTCTATCACTCCATCACTGATACACCCAAGACTACCTCTCTTGCCCAGACTTCGCCGCCATTTACAACAAGCTCTGCAATCTTGACCCTGTCCCCGACTACTCCCTCCACGACAACCTCTTCTACATCGACACCAAAGGCACTCGTCGATTGTGCATCCCTGACACACATGGTCTCCGTACCCAGCTCTTGGCCGAACACCACGACACCAAGACGGCAGGTCACCTCAGTTTCCATAAAACCTTCGACACCATCTCCCGCTACTTCTATTGGTCGTCTCTACTTGCCGACATGAAAACATACATTCGCTCATGTCCCACGTGTCGGGCTGTCAATCCCTCGAACCAGGCCAAACCCGGCAAGCTCCAATCATTGCCCATCCCCTCTCACCGGTGGCAGTCCATTTCCATGGACTTTGTGTGCGGTCTCCCTAAGACCAACCGCAGGCATGATTGCATCTACGTCAGTGTCGGCCGCGTGACCAAACGTGCCCACTTCATTCCTTGCACCACCTCGCACACCGCCAAAGACATCGCCCTACTCTTCTTCGACCATGTTGCACGCCACCACGGCCTCCCCGATAATATCATCAGCGCCCGCGATCCCCGTTTCCTCTCACAGCTCTGGAAACAACTCTTCAACGACTACGGAACTACACTCAAGTATAGCACTGCATTCCACCCACAGACCGATGAACAAACCGAGAAGATGAACGATACTCTCCAAAGAATCCTACGGAAGTATTGCCATCCACATCAACACAACAGGGATCAGTTGCTCACCGCCACCGAGATCGCCTACAACAACGTTGTCTGTCCTTCCACTGGCATGTCTCCATTCTACCTTGACCTTGGCTACCATCCGCGCTTGCCCTCTGATTTTCTGCTTCCCTCGCAACTCAACCCCTCCACACCCTGCCCTTCCCTCAATGAATGGGTAGCAACAATGAATCGATTCCTCAGAGAAGCAACTGAAGCCCTCGAAAGAACACAAGAACAACAAGCCAACAAGATCAACAAACACAGACGAGACTTGCATTTCAAAGTAGGGGACAAAGTCTGACTCTCCGCCAAACGCTTTGAACCCAAACATGGATTGTCAAAGAAACTCTCGAACAAATGGCTCGAACCCTTCCCCATCATTGAAAAAACCTCCGACGTCAACTACAAACTCCAACGCCCCCCCGACATGAGCCGCGTCCACCCGGTCTTCCACGTCGAATACTTGAAAGAATATCATGAATCCCCACCCCAATTCGTGGACCGCCCATATCCTAGACCTCCACCTATCATGTTACCCACAGCCCCTGAATTCGTTGTTGAAGCAATCATAGGTCGACGAACTACTCASGTATCTGACCACCCGGAACCAATCACTGAATACAAAGTCAAATGGACAGGATACCCCGACGAAGAATCTACATGGGAACCTCTCTCGAATCTCAAGAATGCCATGAAACTTGTCCGCTCCTATGATCGTGCTACTCCTATGTCCTAGACACCCACGTAACTACAACCCTAAGCCCCTGTATAAACCTTGCTACAACCTCGCAACCCCGTTCTACACACACCCTTGAACCCAGTCCACCCTCCCCTCGACCCCGATTCCTGATGTCTGATCTGCTCTTGCCCTCGCCTAGCCTTGTCCCATCTGTCCTCTCCACTACCTTGTCTCACTTGTCCAATGCTTATGAACCTGTGTGACGCCGGCGATAAAGGATCTAATGGCAAGCGCACGAGGACAATGGCCTGCTGCCTCATTGTTCATGGAGACAATGCAGCTGGTTTGGCCACCATGTTGTTTCATCGGTCGGCATCCCGACTCGCGGACTTACGGGAGCAGCAAGTTGTGGCATGGATCTTTGCATCAGTCTGCGACTTCCTTGCTTCCAGATCAGACCTCATTGCAGTTCGTCTACCGAACACACCCTAGCACTTGGACTTTGGACATTTGAACTATTGTTACGCTTCTTGGACTTCTACATGTCGCAGCCACTGAAAACCGCTTCTACCACCTACTCCAAGACCTGATCAAGACTGCTGCAGATCCCCTTTCAAGACACTTGGACACTTCGTTCCTACATGAGATTCTGCTTCCGACTCCCTCAGACACACCAGCCCTTGCCTCCTGAACAAACATTTTCATTTTTGTTTTTTGTTTTTATTTTTTCTTGACTTTGACAACCCTGTAGAACATCATTAGCAGATCCCTGTTTCCCTGACCATAGTTCCCCTTACCCAGTAGAACATCAATAGAAATTCTTTGTTCCCCTTACCATTCTTTCGCTTACCCACTAGAACATCAATAGAAATTCCTTGTTTTCCTGAACATCGTTTCCCCTACACAGTAGAACATCAATAGAAATTTCATGTTCCCTGAACATTGCTTAGCTTCCCCTGTAGACCCACCCAGTTACATCATACCTTCACATGTGCAGAACACCAGACAGAATACCCTGTGACTTGCATCACTCCCCTTCTCCTTCTCCAACCAGTGATCGGCCCCTTCCCGTCCTTCACAACTCCTTTTGTTTCCTTGGTTTTTTGGCAGTCGGGACGTTCCCTTTCAGAGGGAGGGGATAGTGTTACAGACTCTGCCAGGCTCGATCCCTCGTCTATCTTTTTGTTGTTTCTGCTGCACCCCGTTTTCGGCCAGGCACCCTTTTTCCCAAACCCCTCCTTTGGTACCGTCGGGTTTTGGACAACTGGTGCCATGCTGCAATTCGGGCGCCACTTTCAAATACCGCATTTTTCAGTTCTGCCCTCGGGGCTTTTGCGGAAATGCCCCTGGTACCATACGTGTCACCGGTACTTATACCGGCTCCCCGTACAGTACGAGGACCAGTCAGGTACCAGTTTTCAGTTGCTGTACTTGTACTCAGTGTGACTTGCTGTTTCGGCATTCGGAATCCAGGACTTCGACTTTGTGCCCTTGCCACTGTGTCTGCGTCCGACCCTCAGTTGTGTCGAGTGAGTGAGTGTGTGTGTGTGCTCTCACACTCTCCCTCTCTCTCTCCTCTCCCTCGGCTCTCCCTCAGCCTCGCGCTCATAACAGTCTGATAGTTGTCCCAGGAGTGGAGTACAATCCACAGGTCTTATTGACCATGTTCTTAAGATGTCTTCCCATAGACATCAAGAACTTACTAGCTAGCAGGGCTTGCCTAGAGTATCACACCCTTGAGACATTCAGTAAGAAGGCCCTAGACTTAGAGGCTACGCTGGGTGGTGCTCAAACCCCTTCTACGGCCGGGAGAAAGAAGAAGACGCCACAGGAATGGAAGAAGAAGGGTAGTCGATTGATGATGGTTGATTCCGAAGGGAATCAAACTTAGATCGATGATGTTTTTGAACTTGTGGAGAGTGCAGAGTTTGACGGCGAGGAGAGTGTTGAGGGTAGCAACCTCGCTGCGGTAGTTAAGACTAAGGCAGCGGGTCGCGGTAAGGGCGGTCAGCAAAGCAGTCAGGGGCAGGCCGCTAACCCAAACAAAATAGTTGCTTGGGTTAGAGCAGGCTTGGATAAAGAAGTGTGGCGGGACCGTTGGTCGCGTGGTGCTTGCATAAACTGCGGCGAGTACGACCATACGCAGTTTAAATGCAAGAACCCAAAGGTCTCGCAGAAAATCCCTCCTAAGGGTGGGTTTCCTTCTTCTCAGCTTGGGGCCTCTACGAACTCCAACTCGGGAAACACTTATGGCCGATAGAAGTTGTAGATGCTTCTACTCTCGTTGAAGCAGGTGATGTACCCTCCCCGTTTCAAGAGTTGGCTGAAGCTATTGACTCCTTAGTCGCCCCACAAACGCATCTGGACCCAACTATACTTTGTATGTTGGATGTGTCTGAAGCCTTAGAGGACCTTCAAGGTGAGTGGTACCCTCGTGAGTCCTGGGTGACACTAAGTAGAGGTCCTAGAGGGGAGCACTTCGTTGTGGAAGTTGGTGTGGGTGGTCACAAGTGCGGTGCCTTCATAGACATTGGCTCCACGTGAAACTTCATAAGTCGACGACTGCGTTGATAGACTGCGCCTAAAGGACCGGATGCAGCGCCTTAGTAAACCGGCAGCATCTACTCTGGCCAACAAAGAGCGCATGACGGTGGAAGACTACGTGAAAGACGTGGTCTGCACTTTCTCCTACCTAGGAGGAGAATTAAATCATAAGATATCTTTCTTGGTGAGCGACGATTTGCCTTTTGACATGTTGTTGGGCATGTACTACCTCGAGGTTGTCAAGCCCCAATCTGACTGGGACAAGAAAGTGTTGAAGCACGAATTGCCTAATGGGAGGACCATTAGACTAGCTAAGTATAAAGTTGGTAGGTTGATAGACTCTTATGGGTTTTTGTGTGCATCGGCCTTTTATAATTATTATAAACAGAACCAGGAGGAAGGTATGTACTTAGTCTATGTCTCTGCGAAAGGGGAGGCCGTTAAAACAACCCCAGAGATAGAGACCATCGTCGCTAAGTACCCCGATCTGTTTGAGGAGCCTGCAGGAGTCGTAAACGGGGAGGTTGTCCATGCCATAGAGATCATCCCAGAGTTGGACGAGCTTCGTTAGCAAATGAAAGAGCTCACAGAAAAGGGTTGGATTCGGCTTAAGACTTCCCCCTTTGGCTCACCATTCCTATTCGTTCCAAAGAAAAGGGGAACACTAAGGATGTGCATTGATTATAGAGGCCTCAATGCCATCACCGTTAAGAACGCAGAGCCTCTACCACGCATCGACGACCTATTGGATAGGGTGCAGGGATGTAAGTACTATACAAAGATAGACTTAAAAATCCGGCTACCATCAGATTGCCATAAGACCAGAGGACCAGCACAAAACCGCATTTCAGACCAGGTACGGTCTGTACGAGTTTGTGGTGATGCCCTTTGGCCTTTGCAATGCGCCGGGTACATTTCAGCATGTCATGAATAGGATCTTCCATGACTACTTGGATAAGTTCGTCGT